TGTTCACAGCAAAATCAAAGTTGGGGTGGTCAAGAGAACTTTGCTTCTGGCATCTCTAGATTTACTTAAAGACCCCGACTCAATAATACATCGCCAGAGTGTATATTGTATGACGATTGTTTATACACAAATGGATAGCTTTCTCTCATGGTTATTGAGAGAGAAAAATAAGACAAAATTCAGAATTTTGTCTTTGTGTATATCAAAGAATTCTACACAAGAATATGTGAATTTAAGTGGCTTCGTTTCTGGTATACAGGCTTTGCAACTGGAATTTGGTTTACTCACACAAAAAAAAAATCAGTTACTTGTTTTTGTCTCACACAGCTGTGAGAAAATAAGTCCATGGAAAATGATTGAGAACACTTGCTTCTCAGCATTTCAGGCTGGCTGGAGGCAGTACAGAGCAAAAGAGTCTTTGCATAGTACTTTTCCAAGCCTTCTTTCTTAGGAGGCCCTCAGTAGAAGGCGCAAATGTTTGAGATGCATTTACTTGATGTATTTACTGATAAGTGAATTTGCAGCAGACCTTAGGAAAGAAATGCTAAAATATGTTGTCAGAGAATAGAATATTTGTCCCATCTTAACAGAGGACCAATTCCTACAAATAAATGAGTTCTAAATTTCCTTACTAATCTAGTTACTTAACGAATGCTCTTCTTCATTATTCAAACACCAATTAAATATATATAAATATATATATATAAAATATGCTTCTACAGTTGCTTTGCAGTTCCTTATATTCAATAGTAAAAAGTAGCTCTCTCTCTCTCTCTCTCTCTCTCTCTCTCTCGCTCGCTCGCTCGCTTGTGTGTGTGCGTGTTATTGTGGACAGAGCCCAGGCCCTTGTGCATACTAGACAAGTGATCTGCTTCTGAGATTCTTTTGTTTCTTTCTTTTAAACCTTTAAGTAATACCCCCTCATTATTTTCTCCTTTAGCACATTTACAGTGGACAATATGGGAAGAATATGCAAATGGAGCCTGGGACACACTGGGAAAGGGTGTGTGTGTGTGTGTGTGTGTGTGTGTGTGTGTGTGTATGTGTGTATGAGAGAGAAAGAAAAACCAAACAAAATCTACCCCTTCCCCAAACTCTGTAATCAGTTGTGAGAAGTCACAATGAGTCTCACATTACCCAGGGCTCACATGAGGTCATTTGTTTAGGGACCATTTCCTTTCTTAAACCATGGCCTATTTTTATAGCCCTGAGTCTTGCAGTGGGAGGAATTTTGTCATCCTTCCCTATTGTCGCCATCCTATGGGAGGTTGGGTTATTTTTTTCTTTTTAAAAAATATTTATTTATTTATTTTATATGTATGAGTGTATTGCCTGCATATATGTAAGTGTACCTGTGTTGTGCAGTACCCACAGAGGTCAGAAGAGGGTGTTGGATCCCCTGGAACTGAAGTTACAGACAGTTGTTAGCTGCCATATTGGTTCTGGGAACCAAACATGGGTCCTTTGCAAGAGCAGCCAGCCAGTGCTTTAACCACTGACCCTCTCTCCAGCCCCTAATTTTTTCTTTTAGTCCATTTCCTCATGCTATCTAGGTAGGGAATAGAGTCTTGTTACAGAAGCCAGCTTTCATCAGCTTGGGCAAGGGTGTAGCTTTTTTCCCCATCTTATGGTTTTCTCATCTCATTAAGTCCAGATGTCTCAAGTTCTCTTGTCTGACTTCCTGAGCTTACTCCCTGCTCTCTTCCTGCTTGAACCATGTTGCATATCTGTTTTCCTATTCCTAATGTTGGTTGGAGACCCGGTTCTTAGACTGCTTGGAATCAAAAAACTTGAATAGCTTGTCTGACAGTAGACTCATGTTTCCCCACTGGTAATGCTTCCTGCTGGCAGAAGGTGATGGTGGGAGGCAGATGAGAGAAACAGAAAGATGTAGACACCAAGAAAGTGCCTATGGGTCATTCAGTGGCACTCATTCAGAACTGTGATCCCTAAAGTCCGCTGGCATAGCTGTCTTGTTTTATAAAGAAAAGAACTGAAGACCACAGAATTGGGAGACAGACCCAAGCCCTGACACCTAGCATGTGCCAAGCAGCCTACCCCTGAGCATCAGGTCCAGTGAGTCTCTAGAACTCAAAGTGGTCCCTGGGCCCACTCTTTGTTCTTTCGCTTGCACTTTAGGGTTCATGCAAGTTTTCCATCTATCTCTAGTGGGAGTAGAGCAGGTTAAGATGTTCTCTTCTGTCCAAAGCCATGTTATTCTCTTTGAAGCCAAATGGACTGCCCCCAAAGTCAGGGAGTTGTGTGGGGGGAGATCAGTATTAGCATCTGAAGGTGTCCCCAACTCCTCTGAAAATCTGAGCTATTTCCCTGGTATTCTGAAGCACACCAGCAACCCTGCAGCATCTTCCAAAGCTTATTTCTTAAACTTGTACCTGCTGATTAATTAATTGAAGAAAGCTATTGGAGCACAAACAATTTCACCCCGTTAGTCATTCCTGGATGGGGAAGAGGGAATCATGTTAACATTAGCAATTTCTATTCTGCTCGTGTCTCTGGAGCTCATCTTTCTGGCTCACAGAACATGAGCTCATGAGCTCACGGTTTAATTGGGTTAGAAATTAAATGAATGCTTTTTTCTTTTAAAGGAGAAGGCGAGCCGCCCCATACTAAGACTAGCAATTAAAACTACAAGAAGACACTTGGCAGGAGTGTCAACAGCAAGGAACACACTAAGTGGAGAGGAACAAAAGCTTTACCTCCAGCAAGAGGCTGGAAGTTGGTGTGGAGGCAAATCTCAGCACTGAGAATTGTCAGAGTAGGGGATGAGATGAATTTCTAACACTTTAGATAAATGCACACAGGTGAGAGGAAAGGAAGACTAAATTATGCTGTAGTTGTGTTTCTTCTATGAAAATCAGACACTTCTGGATGAAATGTCTAGTTAGTGGAAATGATTCTGAAGTTCCTCTGTTATTTCTGGAAGTTCCTAAATAGGTGTGTCATGTATGTTCCAAGTGCAGTCTGTCAGTCACAGTGGCTGAGGTGCCTCCTACTTGCTTGTGTCTAGAACCTAAAGGTCCTTTGGAGAAGCATATTGCAGGCAGCACTCACTTTGCATGTTAGTGTTCATTAAGGGGTGTCATCCCCACAATGGTTTGAAAACTGCCAGCAAAACTAGGGACATTATGTTGCATGGAATTTCAATTGTCTGCCAAGAAACATACGTTTGACTTCTGGTCTTCAGCTCATCAAACACAGCCACTCAGACTCAGACTAAGGGTCCACATGAACAATGCAGTGAGCAAATCCTTATTGATTGCCTAGGGTATACTTTTCTAGAAGCTGGGGTACAGTAATGGGTACATAGAGCCCCACACAGTACCACTGTTCTTTTTCCCACTCCTTGCCCATAACTCCCATCCCTTAAAACCAAATTATTCTACCTTATTTTGTTAAAACAAAATAAAAGTTACCATGGATGTTGAGGAAGGGAAAGATCTTGGGAGAACAGAGTTGTTATGGTTTGAATGTGAAATGTTCTTTGCAGGCGCTTGTGTTTGAGAGCTTGGTCCCCGGTATGTGGTATTGTTTGGAGAGTTTGCTGAAAGTTTGAGAAGTGAGGCCTGGGTGGTGGTTACTGGGGGCAGGTCTTGAAGGGAAGGTGATAGCCCAGTGCCCCATCTCTGCTTCCTGCCTGCCACCCAGATGTGGCCAACCACTGGAAGTTCCCTCCACTTTACGATTTTGCAACCATGCACAGGAACCACTTCAGCTGCCGTGCCTTCTCTGTTATGAAATGGAGCCAAATAAAGCCTTTTACCTTAAGTTCCTTTTGGTCAGGGATCTAGTCACAGCTATGAGGAAAGTAACTAACACAAGTGTGTTAGAGAGAAAGGAGCTGTTCAAACTCTAGCACTGTTGGGGTTCTAGCCAAAGATGCTTTGTATGTCTGAAAACTCCACATGTGTGAATTGCATAGATAGTCTGTAATCCAGTCAAGCATTAACTTAATTTACCTGCTAGGTTTTTCTTTTGTCTTTTTGAGACAAGGTCTCCTTGTAGCCCCAGTTAGCATAGAACTCACTGTATAGACCAGGCTGAACTTGATCTCACAGAGTGAGAGATCCTCTTGCCTCTGCCTCCTGAGTGCTGGGACTAAAGGCATATACCACCATGCCTGCCTGGCAAAGCTATTTTTAATATGCGGGTTTGGGAAAACCTGTTTAATAATCATTGTAAATATTTTAGTTTTGAAAATTGCAAATGTACAAAAGCATCTCGCATAGGTAAATATTTGAAAAATATATTTATAGAATAATATGTCCCTTCTACATTGCCTTATTAATTCAGAAAATGCATACATGAGGGCTGTGAGGATGGCTGAGAGGATAAAACACTTGCCTTGCAAACAGGAGGATCGAGCTTCATCCTTAGAACCTGTGTAAACAATTCAGGGCATGATGGCATATGCTTCTAGAGAGAAAGGAGCTGTGTCGGTAGAGACAGGAGGATTCCTGGGACTAGCTGGCCAGCCAGCCTCGCCTAGTCAGTGAGTTTCAAAATAATGAGAGACCTTTCTTGTCTCAAAATAAAGCTGATGGCATCTGAGGAACAATATCCAAGGTTGTTCTCTGGTCTCTACATATACATGCACTTGCACCCACACATACACCTACATACACATACACACACACACACACACACACACACACACACACACCCAAGAAAATAATTACTGGGTCCCTGCCATATGTACTATTCTAGTTGATTAGAATGTCAAAGAACAAGACAGATAAAAATTCCCACCTTTGCTGAACCTGGTGGCGTACACCTCTAATCCTAGCACTCAAGAAGCAGAGGCAGGCAGATCTCTGCCGGGTGTTTGAACCAGCGACCCCAGGCAGTGATGATTGGGGATGAGTAAGCATGCTGTTCGCTAGCCCACACCACCCCCAGTATCAGGAACACTCAGGTGCAATGGGGAGCCGAGTCAAGCAGGGACTCATTTATTGCAGGTGTTATAGAGCTTATAAAGGCACCTGGAAATCCCCCCTCCCCATTGAGGGTAATCTTAAGGATGGTCACGTGCTGATCATGCACTCCTCAGCAGTGCGGAAGTATTCTTCAGACTTTCAAATTAAGTCAGGCCGCGCCCCAGTAACTTCCTCTTGGACTTCTGCAAGGCGGGTCCTTTAGGTCCCCACATCTCCCCCTTTTATTTTTATTTTAAGGCCGGACTGACTTTGTTTCATGGGTTACCCACCTCATAGGTGGCTCCCTGAGGAGAGATGGCTAACGGCTATCTCCTTTCTCTAATCTTATGCATTTTTTCCTGTCTTAGGTTGTGTCACCTCTGACCAAGCCTTGCCCATCATTGGATCATGCACCTGGCCATGTGTATGTCCTGTCTTAGGAGTTCTTGTCATGGGACATCTTACCCATCCTTGGCTAAAAATGCATCATGATTAAGTGCAGCCATGTGGGTAATGCCAGCCCGTGGCAGTCTTAGTCTCTGCCTAATTTGGTTAGCCAGCCCTATAAGAGTGCCTGGATCCAGCCTCCAAATGGTGGTGAGTTTCCTAAATTCAAGATGCCCAACCTCCTGTACTGGGGCCATGTGAAGCCCCTCCCACTTTACCAGGGCTAGACCTCTCTGCCCTACAGTAGGGTAGGGGCCCAGACCTCAGCAGACTGCCTGAGAGTGCCTGAAATCCAGCCTCTGTGGTGGTGAGCTTCCCCAATCAGGCCATACCCAATCCTCTAATAGGGACCCCGTAAGGCCCATTCCACTTAGCCAGGGCTAGACCTCTCTCCCTACAGTAGGAGATGACACCTTAGCAGACTCCCTGAGAGGGCCAAAATCAGGCCTCCCCTTAGCAAACTTCCCAAATTGTACTGTGAGTGTCTGCTAGTAGAGGTCCAGACGTTAGAAGGAAACCTGAATGTACCTGACTAGAGCCTGACTTGTGCCTCTGTGGTGTGGGGACCTAAAGGCCCCACCTTGCATAGGGCCGAGAGGAAGTTACTGGCAGCATGGCCTGGCTTGCTTTGAAAAGCCTGAAGAATACTTCCGCACTGCTGAGGAGTGCATGATCAGCATGTGACCATCCTTAAGACACACCTTCAGGGGGGCAGGGGGCAGTTCCAGGTGCCTTTATAAGCTCTGTAACACCTACAATAAATGAGTCCCTGCTTGACTAGGCTCCCTGTTGCGCCTGAGTGTTCCCAGTATTGGGGCTGGTGTGGGCTGGTGAACGGTGTGCTTACTCATGCCCAATCATCACTGCCTGGGGGTCGCTGGTTCAAACCCCCAGGAACTGGCGCCCAGCGTGGCGCTCAAAGGAAAGAAGAAAAACGGATTGGGGCCAATCGGAAGTTCGGGGTAAGCAAGACCCAAAAGATGGGAAATGCAACTTTTAAGTCTGAGGACCCAGCACTTAAAGCACTGAGAAATATGCTTAAAAGCAGGGGATTGGATTTGTCAGATCCTGTAGCTCAAAAGGTTTGGGCAGAGGCGATTCATTTGGCTCCCTGGCTACTTGGGGCTAATGTTTTTACTGGGGATACATGGGAATCATGGGAAGAGTTTGAGGAAGAAGGCAGAAATGCAGCAGAAGTGAACCCAAAAGCAGCCAAAGTAACAAGCGGCACCTCGGGTGTGCCCTGGCCAGCTTCAGAGGTGCCCCCTCCCCTGCCCCAGGACCCATGAAAACAGGACCCATGAATGCCTTTTTCAGAAGGGCAGGGTGGAGCAGCGTGCACGGGGTCAGCGGCAAAAGCCGCCCACCCCACCTGCCTTGAACTAACATGTGCAGGGGAGTCAGGGGCTTGCGTGAAAGCCAGGCAGGGTACTGCACCCCCAGCCAGTGACCGGCAGCTGTGGCCTCCAGATGCATTTAAATAAAAAGAAAAGAAAACCACCTTTGGCTGTGCACTGCGACCAGCTCCAGGATGGCTGGGAAGGCCTGGTTCGGGGAAGGTGGCTCTGGGAGGGGCCCGGCCCATCTGTTCAGCAGGCGGCTGGGGAACCACCCTGTCCCTGAGTGTTACAGCCCCTCTGGCAACAGCACTCACCAAATCCCAGGGCCGAGGGAGCCCTTAGTAAAAGCCTACAATGTTTTCACTGACTGGGGCAGATATGGAGAAACCAAAAAGCAGCTCAATTCAAGGAACTCATGGCCATTTCTTTCTGACAGTATTCAGACTCATATGCTCCTTAAAGAGAGAGAAGCCCCTATCTTCTTAAAGCATCTTAGGGGGCACCTGCCGGTGGCAGCCGGCCAAGACGGCTTTTATCCCAAGGCAATGCAGAGGCAGACAAGATGGCTTATTGTGTACAGGTACCGCCTGTGCAACAGCCAGGGGTAAACCCCAGGGGACTCAAGCCCAATTCCTTGTGGCAAATGGATGTCACACACTATGCTCCTTTTGGAAAGCTTAAGTGTCAGGTCCTCAGACTTAAAAGTTGCATTACCCATCTTTCCAGGCATTGCTTACCCCGAACTTCTCGATTGGCCCCAATCCATTTTTCTTCTTTCTTTTCACCTTCTTCTTTTCACATTCCTTCAAGCCCCACGTTGGGTGCCAGTTGCTGGGGGTTTGAACCAGAGACCCCCCAGGCAGTGATGATTGGGGAGAGTAAGCACACCGTTCGCCAGCCCATGCCGCCCCCAATACCCGGGGACACTCAGACGAAATGGGGAATCTAGTCAGGCAAGGACTCATTTATTGTAGGTGTTACAAAGCTTATAAAGGCACCTGGAACTACCCCCCTGAGGGTGTATCTTAAGGATGGTCATGAGCTGATCATGCACTCCTCAGCAGTGCGGAAGTATTCTTCAGACTTTCAAAGCAAGCCAGGCTGCGCCCCCAGTAACTTCCTTTCGGAC